GGCTGCCTGGTCACCAAGGTGGTGGCTGTGGACCGCGACTCAGGCCAGAATGCCTGGCTGTCCTTCCAGCTGCTCAAGGCCACGGAGCCTGGGCTGTTCACCGTGTGGGCTCACAATGGCGAGGTGCGCACCTCCAGGCTGCTGAGTGAGCGCGATGCTCCCAAGCACAGGCTGCTGCTGCTGGTCAAGGACAATGGAGATCCTCCTAGGTCTGCCAGTGTCACTCTGCATGTGCTGGTGGTGGATGGCTTGTCTCAGCCCTACCTGCCTCTGCCTGAGGTGGTGCGCGAATCTTCACAGGAGGAAGACGCGCTCACTCTGTACTTGGTCATCGCCTTGGCATCTGTGTCTTCGCTCTTCCTCTTGTCTGTGCTGATGTTTGTGGGAGTGAGGCTGTGCAGGAGGGCCAGGGCGTCCTCTCTGAGTGGCTGCTCTGTGCCTGAGGGTCACTTTCCTGGTCACCTGTTGGAGGACAGGGGGGAGGGGACCCTGTCCCAGAACTACCAGTATGAAGTGTGTCTGAGAGAAGGCTCTGGGACTGGTGAGTTCAACTTCCTCAAACCCATGATCCCTAACCTTTTGCTTCAGGATGCTGGGAGAGAAAGTAAGGAAAGTCCCCACTACAGGGATAGTTTTCTATTCAGTTAAGCATTCAAAGCAGTCCTATGTATCTTAAGAAATAACATTCTAGCTTTTATGCAAGAAGTTTAAAGGCTACAACCTGTTTTCAAAATACTGCATGTGTACATGTGTCCAACAGCTGTCACTTTTCCTACTGGCATTAAGCACGGTCCGGTTGTCATTATCCCACATGTTTAGTTTGTGCTTTCCTCATATTTCGGTGACGTTGGTGACAATCTTCTCATATCTACAAATAACTCAAATAGCATAAAATTTGTTTTAATTACTTTCTCCTTTAAGGCTAATAAGAAAATTTGAACTTTTGTATTATTGTGTCACCTGTTTTTTCCTTATACCTTTTTCTTTTTAAGGCTAGGATGCTTAGTTTTTTTATTTGACATTAGCCTACTTATGTCTGCCAAATTCTTATCATGATGTCCTTCATTGGAATAATTGCATACTTGTTTTATTTATGTGCCTGCAAGTGTTCCAAAAATATCAAGGTTACAATTTTCCATTAATTTGTTATTTCTTTCATGAAATAAAAATTTAAAAAGCAATATCCCAATCTTATGTCCTGGTTTCCTCCACAGCATTCCAATCTGAAGAAGCATCAGATTTCTCCTTTCCTCCTCACCCTTGGGGAGAAGCTAAAGCATAGTGTCATGTCTTGGGGTTTTCCTGCAGCTTGTCCTACCTTCCAGTAGACATTTCTCCTAGATTCTGGCAATGTTGTCTAGTTCTTGCTATTGAGACTTCACATTTTTGCTTTATGTTATTTGGTAGCTATGGATTTTAAAAGATCCTCAGTAGAATTTTACTATTTCCCTTTCTTCTTTGTTGTGTAATGTGATTTCAGTTACTTTTAACTTAAATTTTCAATCAAATGAAGTTGTGTTCCAGAAAATAAGTATTGTTTTGCCCTTGATTTAACAACAGTGCATTTATTGAATTATCATTGTTTTATGTCATGTTCAACAATAATCACAGTGTGCGATTCTGCCTAGCTATATTCATGTAGATATGACTGTAAAAGTTAACTTTAGACAGAAAATTAGGAATTAAAAAGCCTTCTGTATCTCGGCGTGTTGGCACACATACACTTAATCCCACCACTCAGGAGATAGAACTTGGAAAGGTCTCTTTAGGTTCAAAGCCAGTCTGGTTTTCAATGGGGAGCTCCAGGCCAGCCAATGTTGTATCATGAGACCCAGTCTCAAAATGTAGCTGGAATACTGGAACCTGTTCTGTCTTACTCCACAGAAGCTAGTGAGTAGAGCCAGAAATTTGTTCTTTAGGATGTACTTTATTTGGAGAGCTTGAAATCTGAGAAGGCCAAAAGTCAACATACCAAACTGCCTTATGTCTCACTTCTAGGCATCAGACTATGCAGGAGGAAGGTGACGGTTAGGCAGCCAGGGAGTCAGAATTTAGTCTTATCCCTCTGGGTAGGTGGTCAGTCATATTTTTGAGATTTGTGACATATTTGTTTTTCTCACTATCATCACCTGAACTTTTCGTTGTGCTGAGTTACTTTAGATGTTCTGGAATTAACCTTATATCTCTCCAGAGGCATCTGGATGGGGGCCGTGGTAACTCAGAACTAGCAATTGACCATGCATGCAGGCGAAGCTAGTCATAATATGTGAGGACAGACTCCTTTTCACAACCTCGAGTACAAATAATGCCTTTAAACACTGAAAGTGTTCCTATTTATCTTCTCTGTCCCCTGTCACCTGAAAGTTACATGAATGGTGTGGTAAGAGAAACAATCATAAAATCAGGTTAAAGGTCAGAAACCATTACTGTTCAGCCACAGAAAACACGTTGTATGTTTACGAACTGAATGAACTTAGGTTTCTGAGAAAAAATTCCTTGGGGATGAGAAGGTGAGTCCTATTGTCTGTTTTGCTCCCAAAGACATTTGCTGAGTCTGAACAAACAATAGGTTGGTTGTCACAAAGGCAAAGCAAATCAGTGAACTTTGGTAGATTGAAGATTCCAGCTGAAAGCCAGCTCCATTTCTTAGGAAACTTACTCGGGGAAGACGTGCACAGTTAAAAACTAATAACCTGGATTCAGTAGCAGGAGGATCTCTGAGAGCTCAAGGCTGGAGTGATGTTTTACGTGCTATTCAAAAATTAGAATTTGGTGCCTGCAGCATGAAGAAGATGTGGAGAATATAAGTGGAAATAAGTTAGTGTTTGTTGGTTATCAGACCTGAAAATAGCATTAATTAAGCACAATGCCTGTTTGATTAGAGTAATTTGATTAACCATGAATCTATCAAGTAAAGTTCAAAAGAATTTCTCCAGGGGGATAAAATAGGACCTCAATCCTAGGTTAAGTTTTTCACATAGACATTCAGTCTTCAGTAGAAAGAGTCAATATGCAAGCCCCTACTGGGTGATAAGAAAAAACCAAGAGAAACATGACAGATATGACTTAGAGGGCTCAGATCTTAGAGTGAAAGAATAATAGTAAAACAAATCAACTTTAATTAATTAATGAGCAGTGACATGGAGTTGGATCAGTGAGGGGAAGGTGCTTACTACCACTAATCCTGACAACCCGAGTTTGCTCTCTGGAACCCACTAGGTGGAAGGAGAGAACTGGCTTGTGAAAGCTATCCTCTGACTTGTACACACACACTGTGACATGTGCATGTGAGGGTTCCCGATTTAAAAACAGGCAAACAACTGTTGAAGATGTTTTGTGAAATCCAGTCTAGCCAAATAAAAGTGGAAGCATACCTTAGGAGATCATAGGAAAGTTGTGCAACATCAAAGAAAAAGAAAGAAAAGCAAAGAAAAATATTTTAGCAACTGTACAAAAAGATGCAGTTTTTTAAAAAAAATCTGTAAAATGGAGTAATGATTTCTCAACGTGACTCAAAATACCAACAACAAATGAAACATATTTTCAATATCTCCAAAGAAAATGATTAACACATTAGAATTCTATTACCAGAAAGCAGAACCTTTCAAAAGGTTTTCAGACCAAGAAAACTTATGAAGGATATGTGAACACTGAAGGGAGTATGTTAGAGGAACTCCAAAAAACAAAAGGAAAACATTTTGGAAGAGATTTCAGGATTACAGCAAGAAAGAAAAAAGGATAGGAAATGAATACTGACTGAGGATTGACTATGTCTGCAACAGTAACAGTTTTGTAAATGACTTAAAAAATACATACAAAATGTATGAAATCAAATATGCAAACAGCAGGGCTATTTAAAGAGTTCCGTACACTATCATGGAAATAGGAAGACAATTATTTTACTACACCATTGTAGATGAAGATGCATTACTGAAACTTATATAACTTCTAAATAACGATTCAAAGACTAATTGAAAGAAAATTCAAATGACAAGCATTTGAATAATATAAGAAGAATAAAACATAGAGGACAAGCTAAAAATAGAGTCTAATTGTAGATAAAATATATCAGATAAATTATAACTGAATTAAAACCCAATTACAAAGCATAAATTATCAGACTACATTTAAGAGAAATTAAATTATACACAGTCATATAAGTATCTTGTGTGTGAGGAAAGAAAGGAGAAAAAGATCTGAATACTACTTTCAAAACAATGCATCATAATGAAAAAACTCCATGTGAAAATGGGGATAATTTCATTAATCACCAGAGAAATGCTAATTAAACTTATGATATAGTATCATCACGTGCTCAATAGAGTGGTTAAACCTGAAATGATAACAGAAAATGTTGACAATACTATAGAGCACCTGGAACTCCCATTCTGTTGCTTTTTGCTTAAATTTTACCACTCTGTGAATCAGTCTTCAGTATGCCGGACAAGGGGTCTACAGCTGACATGTATCTCCACACTTGGGGATTTTTTTTCTTTTTCTTTTTTGACGTGTAGAATGTACTGCTTTTGAACTTGTAAACCTCCTTCCAGCGTCTCACCGAGATGGGATTACAGATACATGCCACTGTGGCTGTCACAGTAACTACATTTTTGGGAAGAACTCACAATTTAGGCTAAATCTCAATGTATTATCACATTTTAATGCACACTAATCCCAACATTCAAAATAAATACATATTATAGCAAAATGGCATGTACAATAATGTTTGTAGCATTACTCTAACAACATTAAAAACTGAAGACATTTACCAACTGGAGTAGACACAATGAGTCAAGGCACAGTTTTCCAAGGGAGTAATATGAAACAATGAGAAGAAAACTAGTTAGAACAACTTTTCACAAATCAGCTTCACAAAGCCGATGTTGAATGACACAGAACCAGCATAAGAGAGGAATGCTCTACAAACACATTTCTTTAAAGTTCCAATAAAGACAGAATAACGTGTAATGATAGCGGTCAATATGGTGCTTTTGTCGAGAGGGTTGGTCATGAATAACGGCCAGAGGGGGCACAGTATGTTTTGTATATTTTAGTTTATCTTTAGGTTCCTGCTTATAGAACCATTAACCAGGGAAAATACTCCTATGTGTCCCTTCTGAATGCATGTTCTATATCAAAGCAAAATTAAATTATATAAAATTCAATTTTTCCGTATAAAATTAATGAAATACCATTTAATTTATTATAAATCCATAAAGACATAAGACATATTTTTCATGTCTCCAAAGAATTTAATTAAAATTACTATATTATATTAAGAAACTATATTATAAATATATTTTCACTTAATAGTAGCTCAGCAAAGGTATGCTTATATCGCTAATACTAGGAGCTAACATAAACTCTTGCATCAGGAGAAACAGCTGCATCTCAAACAGGCTTAGAATTTAGAATAGCAAAACTATATGCAATCGTAAAAATGGACACTTGGTGGCGCTCTCGACTAAGAGTGAAAATACCAGCTCTGCAGATGCCCAGGAAATTAGAGTAAGCTGAAAATTAGAACGCAGTCTGTTTCCCAGAAGAAGACATTTAACTGTGAACCAGGGGAGAACCCCCCAGGGATAGTAAGGCATTAAAAAAGATTTAATTCGAGGTTTTTCACCAAACTATCTTTGTGGATTGAAAACAACTTGAAGAAGCAACACCTTCAGGACTGCATCTGAACAATGGAGACAACCCTAGCAAAAACACCAGAGAAAAGGCAAGTGGTTTTTATGGCAATGTTGTTACTTTTGTGGGAATCTGGCTCTGAGGCAATTAGATATTCCATTCCAGAAGAAACTAAGACTGGCTACTTGGTGGCTAATCTGGATAAAGATCTGGGGCTCAGGGTAGAGGAACTAGTTATCAGAGGGGCTAGAATCCATCACAGAGGAAACAAAGAGCTCTTGCAGCTGGATGCAGAGACTGGGAATTTGTTCCTGAAGGAAAAACTAGATCGTGAGGAGCTGTGTGGGGTGACAGAACCCTGTCTGCTGCACTTCCAGCTCATACTGGAAAACCCTGTGCAGTTCTTCCAAACTGACCTGCAGCTCACAGACATAAACGACCATTCTCCAGAGTTCCCTCACAGAGAAATGCTCCTGAAAATCCCTGAGAGCGCCCAGCCAGGGACTGTGTTTCCTCTGAAGGCAGCTCAGGACTCTGACATAGGGAACAATGCTGTTCAGAACTACACAGTCAGCTCCAACCTCCATTTCCATGTGGTCACTCTCAGTCGAGCTGATGGCAGGAAATACCCAGAGCTGGTGCTGGACAAAGCCTTGGACAGGGAGGAGCAGCCTGAGCTCACTTTAACCCTCACTGCTGTGGATGGAGGGTCTCCACCCAGGTCTGGGGCGACCACAGTTCGCATTGAAGTCGTGGACATCAATGATAACGCCCCCCAGTTTGTACAGTCGCTCTATGAGGTGCAGGTCCCTGAGAACAGCCCCGTGGATGCCTTAGTTCTGATAGTCTCTGCCAGGGATTTAGATGCTGGGATACATGGGAATGTAGTCTACTCTCTGTTTCAAGGTGGTGGAGCTTCTCAACCATTTGTAATAGATGAAGTCACGGGAGAAATTCGTCTTAAAGGGGCATTGGATTTTGAAACAACTCCCTTTTATAACATGGAAATTATAGCCACAGACAGTGGAGGCTTTTCAGGGAAATGCAGTGTAACTATACAGGTGTTGGATGTGAATGACAACGCTCCTAAACTCGCCATATCTTCACTCACTAAGTCAATCCCAGAAAATGCTCCTGAAGCTGTAGTCGCTGTTTACAGTGTTTCTGACCCAGATTCTGGGGACAATGGAAAGATGGTGTGTTCTATTCAGAATGACCTTCCGTTTCTTTTGAAGCCCACATTCGAGAACTATTACACTTTAGTGACAGAGGGACCACTGGACAGAGAGAGCAGAGCAGAGTCCATCATCACCATCACAGTCACCGACCTGGGCACACCCAGGCTCACAGCCCAGCACGCCATAACAGTGCAGGTGTCCGATGTCAACGACAACGCCCCTGCCTTCACACAAACCTCCTACACCCTGTTTGTCCAGGAGAACAACAGCCCCGCCCTGCACATAGGCACCATCAGCGCCACAGACTCAGACTCAGGCTCCAATGCTCTCATCACCTACTCGCTGCTGCCCACCCACGACCCGCAGCTGGCCCTCTCTTCGCTCATCTCCATCAATGCAGACAATGGGCAGCTGTTCGTGCTCAGGGCGCTGGACTATGAGGCCCTGCAGACCTTCGAGTTCCGCGTGGGCGCCACAGATCAAGGCTTGCCCGCGCTCAGCAGCCAGGCTCTGGTGCGCGTGCTCGTGCTGGACTTCCAGCTGCTCAAGGCCACGGAGCCAGGGCTGTTTACCGTGTGGGCTCACAATGGCGAGGTGCGCACCTCCAGGCTGCTGAGTGAGCGCGATGCTCCCAAGCACAGGCTGCTGCTGCTGGTCAAGGACAATGGTGATCCTCCTAGGTCTGCCAGTGTCACTCTGCATGTGCTGGTGGTGGATGGCTTCTCTCAGCCCTACCTGCCTCTGCCCGAGGTGGCGCCCAACCCTGAGCACCAGAATGACTTGCTCACACTCTATCTGGTCATTGCCTTGGCATCTGTGTCTTCACTCTTCCTCTTGTCTGTGCTGCTGTTCCTGGGGATGAGGCTGTGCAGGAGGGCCAGAGCGGCCTCTCTGAGTGGCTGCTCTGTGCCTGAGGGACACTTTCCTGGACACCTGGTGGATGTCAGCGGTGCTGGAACCCTCTCCCAGAGCTACGAGTATGAAGTGTGTCTAACCGGGGATACTGGGACTGGTGAGTTCAAATTCCTCAAACCCATGATCCCCCAGCTGTTGCTTCAGGATCCTGGGAGAGAAATTAAGGAAAAACCCCACTTCAGGAATAGCTTTGTATTCAGTTAGCTCTTGTATTTGATTGGGTGAATTTATTTTTGCCAAATCTACAGCAAAATGTTTCTCTTGAGTGAATTATATTGTATTGGCTGTGTAATCAAAGCATATATTCCCTCCATTACTAAAATGTTTTTTTTTCTTTCTTGGTATCTATTGCAGTGAGAAGTTTCAGGTATAATGACCATTAGGAACAAAATGTATCTATGCTTCAACATAGGTTTTACTTTAGCTCAAGTATTAGACAACAAAAGATATTTTACTTGACCTGCTTTGGGGTGTGTATGGGTTTTGTTTTGTTTTGTATTTTTTTTCGGACAGGATCTCACTATTTCTGATGGTTCCAGAACTAACTATCTCTATCTATCTATCTATCTATCTATCTATCTATCTATCTATCTATCTCTATCTATCTATCTATCTCTATCTATAGACATAGATATAGATATATCAAGGGTGGCCTCAAACTGGTAGATATCCATCTCTCTCTGTCTCCTAAACACCACCTACTTTACTGTTTTTACCACAAATTTTTAAGTTTTTATACCCAAGATATTTACATATTTTTCATTTTATCCTGTTGCTATTGGATATTAAATATAGGACCTCTTAAGGACTCACCATACATTCTGTTAGTGAGCTCACTCACAACTGAAATTCCTTATGGTTACCCTGAGTAGTCTTTAGTCTAATAATTAACATTCCTGTCTTTCAAATTATAAACACTCAGTGTATCAAAATATTAAGACACAAGAATTATAACCTTTTTCTTCTTATGTGGATCACATATGTTAGAGGTTGTCTGTATTATTTGCCCACCACATAGCTAGCACAAATATTAATTTTAACAATCTCATTTGTAAAAAGGTAAAGGGATAACCTTATGTATTGTTAATTTGCCAACTCTGTCACTAAACAAATGTGTCAGAGACTGAGGGTATAATCATACATACATGCCAGACCCTACATACACTTCCAAGAAACAAAAGCAGCAATCAAACAGACAAACAACCGCACCTGTTAAATCAGTGATTGATACAACACTGTTCAAAAACTAATCTGAATAGCAGAAGTAACCACTGAAATCCTCCAAAGAATCAAGATATTTCATGGTCTCATTTGATCTTTTTGATCTAGCAATGAAAGTGTAAATGGAGCTCTTGTGGTTTTGTGTTGTGAACTGGAGATTGAGAACCACCTGCCTTCTGGGCATGCCTATGGAGGATTATCATGCTAGGGTAACTGAGATGGGAAAACCATTGTGGATGGCACTATTCCCTAGGCTGGGATCCTGGACTGTATGAGGAGGAGAAAGTGGGCTGAGCACAAGCCTCATTGCTCTCTTTTCTCTGCCTGGAGATGCACTGTGCTCTTGTTCAAACTCCTGTCTTTCACCTTCCCTATCATGGTGTAGTCTTGAACTGTGAGTCAAAAACCCTTCCTACTTTATCCTGGAAATAGGAAAAGTAACCAAGACAGCCCAAATGGAAACCACACCCATAGACCTGTGCATTCTAAGCATGCTGTTCCCTGTGGCCCTGTTCTAGTTTATAGTAATATATACGTTTCCTTTGGTTTTCCTGCAACTTCTCCTCACCTTTCAAAAGACTCTGGAGATTTCTGGAAATTTCAATATTCTATTTGATTCTGGTTATTCATTCTGATAATTTTCACTATTTTCTTTTATAGATATGGAAAGCAAAACAATGCTTTTTGTGATATTTAATAATTATCTCCTGTTTCGGTATTTGTTGTAACTGTGAAGTATTCTCAATAATTTAATTTTTCAGTTGTGCTAACTATTGCATAGTACAAAAATTAATGGTTCTTAATTAAACTATAATTAATTTTATTGAATTAAATTAACTAATGATTAAGCTTATTGTGTAATTGATACCTAGCCAAATTTGTATGGATATAACAGCAAGAAAACTTTATTGAACCTTTGGCAGAGTATGAACAATTGAAGGGCTTGGTTTATAATCTAGTATCTTTATATATTTACTTTTTAGTAAGTGTATATTCACTGTACAAAGCAATGGATTTCTTAGGAAGTTTTCATGCCTGCATGTAATAGATACACAATGATCATGTTAACCCTTTGTTTGTTTCTAAATCTCAAGTGTCATCTAGAGTTAAAATAATTGCATCTTTCCCTTATTTAATGTTTCCTCACCTAAGGATGTAATGAAATATAAAAAGAAAATTGCTGGCCATCTCTTATCCTTGAAATGTTATTTTTGGTTATTTAATTTTAAAATTGAAGTGAGAAAGAGATAAAAGTGAGAAAAAATAAATACAAACAAGCATGTAAGACTTTAATATGGCAGATAACTTTAATGGCTTGCCCAGTACATGCCAAGATGCCTCTTCTGGTGTGGTGTCCATTACTCAGGATACCAGACTGAACTAAATGCCAGTACTTGGGATACAAGTTTAAATTGAAAAAAGCCAAGATTTGCTGTTGTAGTCCAGCAGCAGGACACTGGCCTAATATGTGCAAGTCCCTCTGTTCAGTCTTCCTAGTATTATGAAGAAAAAATACCCACTTCTTACTTCATAATCAAACGTCACAAAAAGTCATATATTTTAAAATCAAAGTTAGAAATTACACATATATTTAGTAAATTTCCCCTCCAACTTAGATGGATTATCTGACATCAGAAAACAAGCATAAAAACTGACCAAATGTCAGAAATTATCCCTTCAATGCAACAGGAAGCCACTTATATGAGAACTCAGTTTTACAGTTTGCTTAAGGAATAATCAATCGATTCTTGATATAGACACCATAATTAAGTATCCTCACAACATGGAAAACTTGAGCCCAGGGCCAGTTTTCCTGCCCAGGACACATGTCAACTCAGCAGCCCAGGAGAGAAGACTAAAAATATAACTTGAAACCCCTCTGAAGGCAGACTGAGATTCTGTACAAAGTACAAAGATTACAGGTTGGAACCTGCCTGGCAGAGTTGATATAGAGAACTCATGCTGACAATTTGAAATTTGTCAAAATGTATTGATTTGTAAGGACTTCAGAGAACCTTGATCAAGTTTAGTGCCTGTTAGGGTTAGAGTGACTGAGAAAGATAGTGTTTTGTCAAGCTAAGAGCAAAGGATGAGCTCATGCTGGAAGAGGATAATGGGGTCATGGTTGTGGACAGATTTTACATATATACCAGCAACCAGGAGGTGCTTGTCACAAAACTGAATAATATAAAGAAAACCAAAAGGAGAAATCACAACACAATGTTCTAAAAGACCCATATGTTAAAATTAACTAACAGTGTCATTAAAATAAAATGGCTAATACTTTTGAAACAAGTAACAATTGAGAAAATAAAAAGACAATTGATACTTAAGACTCAAAGTCAATTCCATAACAAAAATATATGTGTTATAAACTATATAAATGGTAAAACTTCATGGAAATAAAGGAATACAGAATTAGTGGAAAGAATGCGTGCTGATAGGAAATAAATAGGGAAAAATTTAAGTCTTGAGGCGATGGCTCAGCGGTTTAGAGCAAGTGGCTCTGAGGTTTTTAGCACCACCCCCCTTGTCATGGGGATCACAACTGCTTTTACTCCAGCTCTCAGGGATCTAAAACCCTCTTCAAGGTCATTAACACTCTCATGACATTTATTCACATACACAAAACGCAAAAGAAATAAAACAAATCTTTTTTAGAACGTAGATGAAGAGGTTGAGAAGTGTCTCAATGGTTAAGACCCCTTGCTGTTTTTCCAGAGGACCCAGTTTGGGTCCCAACAAAACCACCTGTAAGTTTAGTTCCAGAGAATTCTACAGTCCTCTGTCTCCATGGGGACCCACAAAGGTGATTTCTATTCAACAACAAAAAGAAATGAGTTATCAATTTACAGAAAGCCATTATGAAGCTTATGTGCACATTAGTAAGTCATAGACGCCAAGCTGAAAAAAAAAACCAATACTGTAAAATTCTAACTTTGGAGGAAGAAAAATTATCAGTGATTTGCAAAGATTCTAAGAAGACACAATAAAGAAAGATGGACTTAGAGGATGGGTGTAGGGGTGGGAAGAGACATTGAAACTGATATTCTAAAAAGTATGTGCATGTATGATTAAATTTATCCATGGCTATACATTGTATAACACCAAGAGGAAGCCCTAATTTAAAATATGGACTCAGTGGTACACACTTAGGCTCATCAGTGTAAGAAACCTACCAGTTCGGCAGGGGATACCTATAATGAGGAAGGTTGCACATGGTATGGTGTAAGAGGAAATATCTGAATTTCCAGATCCTTTTATATGATTTTAAAACCACTCCTTAAAAGTAGACTTCTTTAAAAAGGAGACTTTCATCTCAATGAAATCTGTGATAAATCTAGAGCACTGAAGACAAAAGAGTATTACATGATCATCAGAGAGAAAACTGGAACACTGGGGCAGATCTGTAACCACCCTGATTCAGGACAGTGATAGCCACTCAGAAGGGGAGCATCACCTTTATAACATGGTGTAAAAGCATTTGGAAATCAAGAACCCCAACTTAATTTATTGAAAACATATTTTAAATGAATAAGTTTATATATGAAAAGTAAACTTTCAAAATATACACAATAGTTTTATGACCTTAAACTATGGAAATATAAAAGTACTAAATAAAATTGAAAAGTATTACAAGATCAAACTAAACACAATTAGATGTTTTAAAGATCAAATCACACTATCAACAAAATTCAAGGCAGAGTGGGAAATGTTTGAGCATATGTATGTATATGAAAAAGAGATCATATAGAATATACAAAATGCTTCTTCAGACCAACAAGCAAACAAATAGAAGCCCCATATCAGAAACATATATAAAAGACATGAACCCACTCCTCACAAGACTCTATCCTAATGGCCAGTCAATATGAAAACTTGAATCACATAATGAATGACAGCCAAATACTCATTAACTTTACAAATGAAGTCACCACACACTAATCACTAAAGTTCTAAAAGTAAAGATGACAACACCAAATGCTACCAGAGATATGAGGCAACTGGAACTCTCATTCTTGGATGATCTTGGTATAACTATACATGAAAATTGTGTATCTTTTGGAGAAGCAAAGTAACCAAACAATACCAGACCAGGTTCTCTTGGAATTTGGCCTATTTTATTTTTTATCTAGGCTGAACTAAATGATATTATAAAAATCCAATGGTTTATGGAAATATGACCTTTTCTTCTTTCTGGATGTATGTTATATTTCAAAGGATATATAAAAGTATGAAATAAAATTTTCTATATGTCTGTTGTTGTTATAAAACAAATTATAAACCTACACAAGAAAGCTGATTGATTATTCATCTACTCAGGACTCTGATGAGAAAACATTAATGTCACCTTAGTTTGTCCAAAAACTTATTCTTACAACCTAAATTTAATTCAGTAAAATTATATTTAGAACTTTCAATTGCTAAAACTGGTCTTAAAATTCAAACTCGTGTGTAACTTAAAAAGATATTGATTGCTTTAAAGTTAAAATTTAGAAGGAAATGCAAGAACAAATGAGGACACTTGGTGGCGCTGCAGGCTTACAGTGTGAAGAATGGGCTCTGCAGACGTTCAGGACGCCATCTCTTTATTTAAGCTGAGAACCAGGAGACTGATCTCAGTTTTAAGGAGAAGGTAAGGTTTCTCCACTATCGGATTTAGTTCAACGTTTTCACGAACCCTCATAAGTGGATTATAATCGACTTGAGGAAGCAGTGTCCCCTGGACTGCATCTGAACAATGGAGACAGCTCTAAGACAAACGCCAGAAAAAAGGCAAGTCTTTTTTCTTACTATATTGTTGCTTTGGGGGGAGGCTGGCTCAGAGACAATTAGATACTCCATGCCAGAAGAAACAGAGAGTGGCTACTTAGTGGCTAACCTGGAAAAAGATCTGAGGCTCAGGGTGGGGGAACTGGCCACTAGAGGGGCACAAATCCATTACAAAGGAAACAAAGAGCTCTTGCAGCTGGATACAGAGACTGGGAATTTACTCTTAAAGGAAAAACTAGATCGTGAGGAGCTGTGTGGGGTGACAGAACCCTGTCTGCTGCACTTCCAACTCATACTGGAAAACCCTGTGCAGTTCTTCCAAACTGACCTGCAGCTCACAGACATAAACGACCATTCTCCAGAGTTCCCTCACAAAGAAATGCTCCTAAAAATCCCTGAGAGCGCCCAGCCAGGGACTGTGTTTCCTCTGAAGGCAGCTCAGGACTCTGATATAGGGAACAATGCTGTTCAGAACTACACAGTCAGCTCCAACCTCCATTTCCATGTGGTCACTCTCAGTCGAGCTGATGGCAGGAAATACCCAGAGCTGGTGCTGGACAGAGCTCTGGACAGGGAGGAGCAGCCTGAGCTCACTTTAACCCTCACTGCTGTGGATGGAGGGTCTCCACCCAGGTCTGGGACGACCACAGTTCGCATTGAAGTCGTGGACATCAATGATAACGCCCCCCAGTTTGTACAGTCGCTCTATGAGGTTCAGGTCCCTGAGAACAGCCCTGTCGATGCTTTAGTTCTGACAGTCTCTGCCATGGATTTAGATGCTGGGATACATGGGAATGTAGTCTACTCTCTGTTTCAAGGCGGTGGAGCTTCTCAACCATTTGCAATACACGGGGTCACAGGAGAAATCCGTCTGAGCAAAGAGTTGGATTTTGAGGTAACTAACCATTATAACATAGAAATTGCAGCCACGGATGGAGGTGGCTTTTCAGGGAAATGCAATGTGGCTGTACAGGTGTTGGATGTGAATGACAATGCCCCAGAGCTGACTATCAGAAAGCTCACAAGCCCTATCCCAGAAAACTCCCTGGAGACTGTAGTTGCTGTTTTCAGTGTTTCTGACCCAGATTCCGGGGACAATGGAAGGGTGGTGTGTTCTATTCAGAACGATCTCCCATTTCTCTTAAAACCCACTTTCAAGAACTATTACACTTTAGTGACAGAGGGACCACTGGACAGAGAGAGCAGAGCTGAGTACAACATCACCATCACAGTCACCGACCTGGGCACACCCAGGCTCACAGCCCAGCACACCATAACAGTGCAGGTCTCTGATGTCAACGACAATGCCCCTGCCTTCACACAAACTTCCTACACCCTGTTTGTCCAGGAGAACAACAGCCCCGCCCTGCACATAGGCACCATCAGCGCCACAGACTCAGACTCAGGCTCCAATGCCCACATCACCTACTCGCTGCTGCCCACCCACGACCCTCAGCTGGCCCTCTCCTCGCTCATCTCCATCAATGCATTGTAATCGACTTGAAGAAGCAGCAGCACCATCTGGACTGCATCTGAACAATGGAGACAGCTCTAAGACAAACGCCAGAAAAAAGGCAAGTCTTTTTTCTTACTATATTGTTGCTTTGGGGGGAGGCTGGCTCAGAGACAATTAGATACTCCATGCCAGAAGAAACAGAGAGTGGCTACTTAGTGGCTAACCTGGAAAAAGATCTGAGGCTCAGGGTGGGGGAACTGGCCACTAGAGGGGCACAAATCCATTACAAAGGAAACAAAGAGCTCTTGCAGCTGGATACAGAGACTGGGAATTTACTCTTAAAGGAAAAACTAGATCGTGAGGAGCTGTGTGGGGTGACAGAACCCTGTCTGCTGCACTTCCAACTCATACTGGAAAACCCTGTGCAGTTCTTCCAAACTGACCTGCAGCTCACAGACATAAACGACCATTCTCCAGAGTTCCCTCACAGGGAAATGCTCCTAAAAATCCCAGAGAATGTCCAACCAGGAACTGTGTTTCCTCTGAAGGCAGCTCAGGACTCTGACATAGGGAACAATGCTGTTCAGAACTACACAGTCAGCTCCAACCTCCATTTCCATGTGGTCACTCTCAGTCGAGCTGATGGCAGGAAATACCCAGAGCTGGTGCTGGACAGAGCTCTGGACAGGGAGGAGCAGCCTGAGCTCACTTTAACCCTCACTGCTGTGGATGGAGGGTCTCCGCCCAGGTCTGGGACGACCACAGTTCGCATTGAAGTCCTGGATATCAATGATAACGCCCCCCAGTTTGTACAGTCGCTCTATGAGGTTCAGGTCCCTGAGAACAGCCCTGTCGATGCTTTAGTTCTGACAGTCTCTGCCATGGATTTAGATGCTGGGATACATGGGAATGTAGTCTACTCTCTGTTTCAAGGCGGTGGAGCTTCTCAACCATTTGTAATAGACGGGGTCACAGGAGAAATTCGTCTGAGTAAACAGTTGGATTTCGAGGTAACTAACCATTATAACATAGAAATTGCGGCCACGGATGGAGGTGGCCTTTCGGGGAAATGCACTGTGGCTGTACAGGTGTTGGATGTCGATGCTTTAGTTCTGACAGTCTCTGCCATGGATTTAGATGCTGGGATACATGGGAATGTAGTCTACTCTCTGTTTCAAGGCGGTGGAGCTTCTCAACCATTTGCAATACACGGGGTCACAGGAGAAATCCGTCTGAGCAAAGAGTTGGATTTTGAGGTAACTAACCATTATAACATAGAAATTGCAGCCACGGATGGAGGTGGCTTTTCAGGGAAATGCAATGTGGCTGTACAGGTGTTGGATGTGAATGACAATGCCCCAGAGCTGACTATCAGAAAGCTCACAAGCCCTATCCCAGAAAACTCCCTGGAGACTGTAGTTGCTGTTTTCAGTGTTTCTGACCCAGATTCCGGGGACAATGGAAGGGTGGTGTGTTCTATTCAGAACGATCTCCCATTTCTCTTAAAACCCACTTTCAAGAACTATTACACTTTAGTGACAGAGGGACCACTGGACAGAGAGAGCAGAGCTGAGTACAACATCACCATCACAGTCACCGACCTGGGCACACCCAGGCTCACAGCCCAGCACACCATAACAGTGCAGGTCTCCGATGTCAACGACAACGCCCCCGCCTTCACACAAACCTCCTACACCCTGTTTGTCCAGGAGAACAACAGCCCCGCCCTGCACATAGGCACCATCAGCGCCACAGACTCAGACTCAGGCTCCAATGCCCACATCACCTACTCGCTGCTGCCCACCCACGACCCTCAGCTGGCCCTCTCCTCGCTCATCTCCATCAATGCCGACAATGGGCAGCTGTTCGCGCTCAGGGCGCTGGACTATGAGGCCCTGCAGACCTTTGAGTTCCGCGTGGGCGCCACAGACCAAGGCTTGCCTGAGCTCAGCAGCCAGGCGCTGGTGCGCGTGCTCGTGCTGGATGCCAATGACAATGCTCCCTTCGTGCTCTACCCTCTGCAGAACGCGTCTGCGCCCTACACAGAGCTGCTGCCCAGGGCGGCAGAGCCTGGCTACCTGGTCACCAAGGTGGTGGCTGTGGACCACGACTCAGGCCAGAATGCCTGGCTGTCCTTCCAGCTGCTCAAGGCCACTGAACCAGGGCTGTTCACCGTGTGGGCTCACAATGGCGAGGTGCGCACATCCAGGTTGCTGACCGAACGCGATGCTCCCAAGCACAGGCTGCTGCTGCTGGTCAAGGACAATGGCGACCCTCCTAGGTCTGCCAGTGTCACTCTGCATGTGCTGGTGGTGGATGGCTTCTCTCAGCCCTACCTGCCTCTGCCTGAGGTGGCGCGCGACTCTGTTCAGGATGAGGATAAGCTCACTCTGTATCTGGTCATTGCCCTGGCATCTGTATCTTCGCTCTTTCTCTTGTCTGTGCTGCTGTTCGTGGGTGTGAGGCTGTGCAGGAGGGCCAGGGCCTCCTCTCTGGGTGGCTGCTCTGTGCCTGAGGGTCACTTTCCTGGTCACCTGGTGGATTTCAGCGGTGAGGGGACCCTGTCACAGAGCTACCAGTATGAAGTGTGTCTGAGAGAAGGCTCTGGGACTGGTGAGTTCAACTTCCTCAAACCCATGATCCCCAACTTGTTGCTTCAGGATGCTGGGATAGAAACCAAGGAAAGTCCCCACTACAGGGATAGCTTTGTATTCAGTTAGTGGTTGTATCTGGTTCAGTGAATTTACTTTTGGCAAATCTCTAGCAGTATGGTTCTCTTCGAAATTGAGTCAGTTTATCTTTGTATTGACATTGCAATCGAAGCATATTCAAGTCCTACATTCCTAAAATGCTTCCCCCCCCCTTTTGTCGTATCTACTTTAGTAGTTTCAGGTTTAATGAATATGAAGAACACAATTTCTCTGTATTTCAACTTAGGTTTTACTCAAGTATTAGGTAACAAAGTAGATTTTATTTTACCTGTTTGGGGTTTTGTTTGTTAGTTGTTTTTTTTTCCAGTGGGGCTCTCATTATGGAGGTCTGGCTGTCCTAGAATTCTGTATGTATGCCAGGCTTGTCTCAAACTGATAGACATCCATCTCTCTCTGCCTCCCTAGTGCTGCTACTTTGCCTGTTTTTACCACATAATTTCAAGTTTTTATGGCCAAGGTGTTTCATATTTTTCACTTCATTATATTGCTAATGGAACTTGAATAAAGGACCTCTTAAGGGCCCACCATCCATTCTGTTAGTGAGCTCACTCACAGCTGAAGTTCCATATGGTTACCCTGAGTGGTCAAGTCTAACAATTAACATCCTTGTCTTCCAAATTGTAAGCATTCAGTTTATTAAAATATTAAGACACTAGAATTGTAACATTTTTCTTCTTACGTGGCTCATATATGCTAGAGGTTGTCTGCATTGTTTGCCCATCACATACCTAGCACAAATATTAACTTTAACAATATCATTTGTAAAAATGTAAAGGGATAACCTTATTTATCAATAATTTGTCACCTCTGTCACTAAGCAAATGTGTCAGAGACTGAGGGTATAATCAGTGGTAGACCATACATGCATGCCAGGCCCTAGGTATACTTCCAAGAAGCAAAAGCAACAATTAAAGAGGCAAATACCACACCCATTAAATCATTGCTTGGAACAATACTGTTCAAAAACTAATTTGAATAGCAAAAGTAACCACTGAAATCCTCCAAAGAATCAAGAATTTTCATGGTTTCATTTTATCTTTTTTTAAAATAGATTTTATTTAAATTAAAAACAATATTATTTTACATGCCAATCCTAGTTTCCTCTCCCAAATTCCCCATCAGTTTCCTCTCCCTCCCATCCTCCCATGCCCCCCATCAACTTCCCAGGGAGGATGAGGCCTCCCACAAGGGATCATCAAAGTCTGACACATCATTTGGGGCAGGACTAGGCCCTCCCTTGTGTATCTAGGCTGAGGGAGATTTGGCTGCAACATCTGTCACCCCATTGATCGCCAGGATTGGTTCAGCTGATCTGGCTGGCTAGGCGTGTGTACCCTTCCTCCCTCACCAATCCATGTGGGTCCCTCCAGATGTGGACACTGGGTCGAGGATGACCTTCTCCAAATAGAGGAGGACCAGTCTTCAGTCAAAGGTATATGAGTAGCTGAGGTCCCCTGCTAGAACCTCCAAACAAGCTCTCTTATTTGATCTTTTTGATCTAGCAATGAAAGTGTCAATGGAGCTCTTGTTTTGTATGTGGTTCACAATACAATGGCTTTGTATTGTGAACTGGAGATTGAGAACCACCTGCCTTCTGGGCATGCCTATGAGGATTATCATGCTAGGTAACTGAGGTGGGAAGACCATTATGGGTGGCACCATTCCCTAGGCTGGGATCCTGGACTGTATGAGGAGGAGAAAGTGGGCTGAACACAAGCCTCATTGCTTTCTTCTTCCTGCCTGGAGATACACTGTGCTCTTGTTCAAACTCCTGTCTTTCACCTTCCCTATCGTGGTGTAGTCTTGAACTGTGAGTCAAAAACCCTTCCTACTTTATCCTGGAAATAGGAAAAGTAACCAAGACAGCCCAAATGGAAACCACACCCATAGACCTGTGCATTCTAAGCATGCTGTTCCCTGTGGCCCTGTTCTAGTTTATAGTAATATATACGTTTCCTTTGGTTTTCCTGCAGCTTCTCCTCACCTTTCAAAAGACTCTGGAGATTTCTGGAAATTTCAATATTCTATTTGATTCTGGTTGTTCTGATAATTTTTTCCTATATTGTTTTGTAGATATGGAAAGCAAAACAATCTTTTTGTGATATTTAGTAACTATCTCCTGTTTTGGTATTTTGTTATCCTTGGATTATTCTCAGTTAATTTAATTTTTCAATTGTGCTGCCTATTGCATAATGCAAAATTATTCTTAATTGGCTTGAATTATAATGAATTAAACTGAATGATAATTAACTTATATTCAGTAAGTCAAAAAAGCTCATCATGTGATTTCTAAAAGTTAAATTCATAATGATACAACTGCAAGAAAACTTTACTCAACTTTTGCCAGAATATGAACAATTGAAGAGCTTGGTATATATATATTTTTATGTTTTATTTTTTAGTTAGTATATACTCATTGTACAAATCAATGGATTTCCTTATGAAGTTTTCCTGACTGTACATAATGTATACACTTGAATCATGTTTATAATTTGTTTGCTTTTAAATGTCAAGTGTCATTCCTATGGAGTTTAAGTATTTGCATCTTTCCCTGAATTAATGTTTCTTCTCCTAAGGATGTAATGAAATATAAAATAAAAAGGCTGACCCTCCCTTATCCTTGATATGTAATTTTTTGTTATTTAATTTTAAAATTAAAGTGAGAAAGAGGTGAAAGTGAGAAAAAGCAACAGAAACAAACATGTCAGTTTCAAATAGGACAGATAACTCTAATGACCTGCTGGTTACATGCCAAAATGTCTCTTCTGGTATGATGTCCAGTATTCAGGATGCCAGCCTAAGCTGAAAAATTCCAAGGACTGCTGTTGTAGTCCCATAGTAGGACATTTGCCTAACAGATAAAAGTCCCTAGGTTCAATCTCCTCAGCATTAAGAAAAAAACATCTCCCTCTTCCTTCATGAAGTTGTATGTTTTTAAATATGAAGGTATATATTATGGGTGTTTGGTAGAATTCTCCTCCAACATAGATGGATTATCTGACATCAGAAAACAACTAAAAAACTGACCAAATGTAGGAAATTATCCCTCCAATGCAACAGGAAGCCACTTTCATGAGAACTCAGTCTTGTAGACAATTTGCTTAAGGAATAATCAAGTTGTTTTTTTTACATAGACACCATAATTAATTACCCTCCTCAGCAGCCTAGGATAGAAGACTAAAAATATAACTTGAAAACCATCTGAAGGCAGAATGAGATTTTGTACAAAGCACAAAGATTAAAGAGAGGTTGGGACCTACCTGGCAGAGTTTATGTATAGAATTCATGCTTGCAACTTGAAAATTGTCAAAATTACTTGTTTTTAAGGACATCAGAGAATCCTGACCAAGTTTAGTGCCTACTAGGGTTACAGTGACTGTACAAGATAGTGCTCTATCAAGCTAAGAGCAAAGAGTGAGCTCCTGCTGGAAGAAGATGATGAAGTCATGGTTGTGGACAGATTTTACACAAGTATCAGCAACCAGTAGCTGCACATCACAAAACTGGATAATATAAAGAAAACCAAGAGGAGAAAACATAACAAAATGACCTAGAAGATGTATGTGTTACAACAAATTAACAATGTCATTAAAATAAAATGGTTAATATTTTTGAAACAAGTTACAATTGAGAAAATAAAATAGAAAGACAATTGCTACTTAAGACTGAAAGTCAATTCCATAACAGAAAATATATGTCATAAAACTATATAAATGGCAAAACTTCATGGAATCAAAGGAACACAGAATTAGTGGATGGAATTCCTGTCTATATGAAATACCTAAAATAAACATGGAAAAATTTTAAATCTTGAAGAGATGGTTCAGCAATTTGGAGCAAGTGGATCTGAGGTCAGTTTTCAGCACCCTTCCCTTGTCAGGGGGATCACAACTGAGTTTACTCCAGCTCTCGGGGATCTGATAACCCTCTTCAAGGACATTCACACTCTCATGACATTTATATACATAACAAAACAATATAAATAAAAGAATTTTTTAAAAACATAGAAAATAGAGGCTTGAGAGGTGGCTCGGTAGTTAAGACCACTTGCTACTTTTTGAGAGTTTCCAGGTTTGGGTCCCAGCAAAACCACCTTTAAGTCTAGTTCCAGGGAATTCTACACTCCATTGTCTCTGTTGGGATCCACAAAGGGGATTCTATTCAACAACATAAAGAAAGGAGCTATCAACCTACAGAAAGCCATTAAGAAACTTGAATGCGGCCAGGCGTTGGTGGCGCATGCCTTTAATCCCAGCACTTGGGAGGTAGAGGCAGGTGGATCTCTGTGGGTTTGAGGCTAGCCTGGTCTCCAGAGCGAGTTCCAGGATAGTCTCCAAAACAATACAGAGAAACCCTGTCTCGAAAAACAAACAAACAAACAAAAATAAGAAACTTGAATGCACATTTGTAAGTCATAGAATCTAAGTTGAAAAATACCCAATACTGGAAAATTCTGACTACGGGTGAAGAAAAATTATCAGTGATTCCCAAATATTCTAATGAGAAAGGATAGAGAAAGAGATAGGTTTAGAGGATGGGGTGGAAAGAGACAGTGAAACTACGATTTTCTAAAAATATGTGCGTGTATGATTAAATTTGTAAATGTCTATAGATTGTATAGCACCAAGTGGTAACCTTATTTTAAATTATGAACTGAGTGGTACACATCAATTGTAAGAAATGTACTTACCATTGGTGGGGGATACCAATAATGGGGGAGTTTGCACATGGTGTGAAGAGGAAATCTCTGAATTTCCAAGTCATTATATTTAATTTTAAAACTACTCCTTAAAAGTAGACTTCTTTAAAAAGGAGACTTTCATCTCAATGAAATCTGTGATAAGTCTAGAGTAATGAAGACAAAAGAGTATTACATTACCATCAGAGAGAAAACTGGAACACTGGGGAAGATCTGTAACCACCCTGATTCAGGACAGTGATAGCCCCCCAGGAGGGGTGCATCACCTTTATAACATGGTGTAAAGTATTTGGAAATCAAGAACCCCAACTTAATTCATACAAAACATATTTTAAGTGAATAAGTAAACTTTCAAAATATATGCATTATTTTATGACCTTAATTTTTGGAAATTTAAAAGTACTAAACAAAATTGAAAAGTACTGCATGATCAAACTAAACACTATTAATATGTTTGATTTATCAAACCACAATATCAAGAAAATTCAAGGCATAGAATGGGAAATGTTTGAGCATATATATTTGAAAAAGAGATTATACCCAGAATAACCAAGATGCTCTTTTAGACCAACCAGCAAATCAACAGATGCTCAATTTTTGGAAAAATATATAAAAGACAGGAACAAGCTCCTCACAAGGCTCTACCTGATGGCCACTCAGTATGAAAATGTGCATCACTTCATGAAAAACAGACAAATGTTCATTAACTTTACACATGAAGTCACCACACAAGCACTAAATTTCTAAATATTGAGAAGACAACACATATGTTAACAGGGATAAGAGACAACTATCTCGATTTGATAGTCTGGATACAACTAGACATGAAAAAAATATTTATTTTTTTTTGAGAAACAAAGTAATGAAAAAATAACAGACCAGAATCTCTTGTTTCTTGGCCTATTTTATTTTTTATCTGTGCTGACAAAAATGAAATTACAAAAATTCAACGGGTTATGCAATTGTGGCATTTTCCTCATAATATATATACATATATATATATATATATATATATATTTCTTGAACAAAATCAATTATAAACG